TCTGGAACTCCTGGCCTTAAGCGATCCTCCTGCCTCAGCCACCCAAAGTGCCAGATTACAGGCGTGAGCCACCAAGCCCAGCTTGACACACAAAATTTTTAAGTTTTAAGGAAGTCCAATTTATTTATTTTTCTTGTGATGTCTCTTTCTTTGGTATCAGACTTAAAAAACCATAACCAAATCCAAAGTCATGAAGGTTTGCCCCTGTGGTATTTTTCTAAGAGTTTTATAGTTTTGGCTCTTAAATTTAGGTCATTGATACATTTTTAGTTAACTTTTGTATGTTGTGTAAGGTAAGAATACAAGTTTATTCTTCTGCATGTGGATATTCAGTTTTCCCAGAACTATTAATATTTGTTGAAGAGACTGTTCTTTTTCTCATTGAATGGTCTTGGCACGCCAGTTGAAAATCAGTTGACCACAGATGTGAGGGTTTATTTCTGGGCTCTCAACTCTCCATTAATATATGTCTGTCCTTATGCAGTTTTGATAACTGTAGCTCTGTAGTAAGCTTTAAAATTAGGAAATATGAGTCCAACTTTATTCTTTTTCACAATTGCTTTGGATTTTTGGATTCCCTTGAAATTCCATATGAATTTTAGGAAGGCTCTTTCCATTTTTGCAAAAAAATAGTCATCTGGATTTTGATAGGGACTACATTGAATCTGCAGATTGCTTTGGCTAGTATTGTTATCTTAATGATATTAAGTTTTCCAATCCCTGAACAGAGGATGTCTTACTCTTTAATTCTTTAATTTCTTTCAGTAATATTTTATAGTTCTCAGTGTATAAGTTTTACCCTTCTTGGTTAAATTTAAGTATTTTATTCTTTTTGACACTATTGTAAGTAGAATCATGTTCTTAATTTTCTTTTCAGAATGCTTATTACCAGCCTATAGAAACACAGCTGATTTTTGTGTGTTGATTTCTGTATCTTGCAACTTTGCTGAATTTATTTATTGGCTCTAACAGTTATTTTTTGTGGATTCTTTAGGGTTTTCTACCTATAAGATCATATCATCTACAAATAATTGAGATAGTTTCACTTCTTCCTTTCCAATTTAGATACTTTTTTTTCCTTGCCTAAGTGCTCTGGCTAGAATTTCAGTATTATGTTGAATAGAAGTGGTAAAAGTGAGCATTCTTATGTTAGGGGAAAAGCTTCCTTATCTTAGGAAAAGCTTTAAGTCATTGAAATTGAATATGATGTTAACTGTGGGTTTTTCACATAAGGCTTTTATCATGTTGAGAAAGTTCCTTTCTATTTCTAGGTTTTTTTTTAAGTGTTTTTTTTTTTTCATAAAAGGATGTTGGATTTGGCCAAATTCTATTCTGCATCAATTGAGTAGATCATGTGGAGGTTTTTTTCCTTCATTCTATTAATGTAAAGTATTATGTTGATTGGTTTTTGTATGGTGAACCACCTTTGGATTCTTGGGGCAAATCCCAGGAATGTAAACAATGCCAATCTTCTCATTTTTTAAAGTAGAATTTCTAATACAA